TTAAGATGATGGGAGAAAAGTCAGACTAGCTCAGTGCATGCCAAGATTCTCCACAGCTGATACTCAAGGGTGTCTGGCTGAGCATAATTATCAGAGGTTGCTAGTTGTTGATGCCTTACAGTTCCTAGGAACTATAATCAAGAAAGGATTGCTGGGAGTTTAGTTCAGCAGTATCTGATGTGAGGCAGGCTGCCTAGTTTTCTTGCATGTAGCTATTGATAATTTATTTTATTATTAATCACCAATATAATTATGTAGATCAATAAGTACTCTATACTGAGCAACTGTGGATATCTAAGTATTCTAGATATATGTTCTTTTAAAACAAGGATGGGTAACTTGAAGCCTTGTCTGACCATGATCGCTGAAAATTGGCAACAAGGTTTTCTGCCATTATGAGGGAAACTTAACATGCAAAGAATATTGCTAGGCCTCCAAACTTTTCCAAAAAATCCAGGAAAACATGCAAAATATCTTGATGCAATTTACTATTATCTCCATGGTAACCCTAAATGTGGTCATACCAGGGGTGGGTTCTACTTACCTTTACTACCAGTTCGCATCGGGAGCGCGCACTTCTTCTACGCATGCACCAAAGAAGCTTCTGCGCATGTACAGATCAACTATCATGACGTCTGGGTTGGTGGGCGGAGCCTCCTGCTGGTTTTACTACCGGTTCTTGCGAACAGGTCCGAACCGGGGGCAACCCACCACTGGGTCATACGCAACCAAAGGTTACCTGAAGTTATCTTAAATTAACATGCTAAAAAATTTAAAATAAGCATTGCTCCCTATCTTCTCCTGTTTTTTTTTAAATTGCAAATATCACACTTTAATTATAGCAAGGTAAAATGCCTTAATTTTGATCATTTCATAATATCTATATTACAATATATAATGGTTTATCCAGTATTGTAACTTATTATACAACCACAGGAATAATTAAAAACTAACCAACCACAAAAGTTATCTGATTACACTTTGAAGTTTGCCATGAAGGAAATATCCTGAATTGTAATTTGTGAAAAAAGTACACTAATATGGTGGTTTTGTGCTAGCATTTCTGAATATAATTGTATATTAGCCAACATATCCACACATTTCCCAGGATACAGTATCCTGAGCCAAATTAGAAGCAGATTATGAAACAAACAAGAATGAATACTCCCGTATTCTCAGAGATACCAATATATAGGTAACAACAGAACTGGGGGTTTTTTTGTATGTTGAATGTGAGGATAAAGTTTAGAGAAGAAATTATGTTTTGAAAATCAGTCTCTGAAGTGATATTCAGAGCGATTATTTCAGAGTTTCAAAACTATTAGAATTAAAGCTGTGCCCTACAGCAAAATACTGCATATGATAAATATGTATAATTTTCCAGTTAATTGTCTCCCTAAGCAGTTATGATGATCAAATAAATAGGTATCTGATGGACATGCAGTATAAATGATTGAACACAGTTAATTTCATTCATCTGGAGGTTATATAGCACTATCCCTATAAGCATTTAATGTGTCATTTCAGGCTTCAGTGCAAAACATACAGTTAATAGAATCTGACAAGGTTTGTGCCTGATCTGATTAGCAGCTGAGCATTGGGATAATCTGGGTTGCACCGTGTCAGTGATAATGCGTATTCAGCACTCATAATCCCTGCATCTCACAAATTCATGCATATTAAGAATGCTTCCCGTACATCAATCCAAGATCGACAGCATCAAGTCTCCTCTCCAGCCCACCATCCTGGCTAATAGCAATGGATAAACTTTCTCTCCATAAAGGCATCTATTCCTTTCATAAAGCTGCCTTTAAAAAGGGCCTCTCCTATCATTTGTGAATTGAGATTCTGTGGGCATGTTACAGGCATTTCACCAAATGGCAGGTTGGTCTTTCACAAAACAGCTGCCATAATGGACAATTACAAAATTTACTTTTTTTTTAAAAAGGCTAATAAGGTTGCTGTCTCTTGCTGCCTTTAGGATCCCTACCCATCAATTTTACCTTTTTGTGTGGTTGGATAATCATGGTTCCTTACATAAAACATGGATGGCAGCCAACCTCCATTTTTTCCCTAAATGTCTTAAGCCTGAATTTTTTTTTACACTTGGAAACAAAATGATACTGAAAATTAGTGCTTTGCAACATTAGCAAGCTTCTTTTGGGCTTTGATTAACAAAGAGCAAATGCCAGTATTTAAAACTCTCTTTAATTTCATCCTTCGGATCAAGTTTGAGTGACTAAATATAAAAGCAGCCTTATTATATGCCAGAGAAGTTTCTTAGGTGACCTTGGATCAATCTGTCTCAGCCCAGCTTACTTAACAGGGTTGTTACTGTGGGGAAAAATAGAAGGGGTGCTAAGAATGCCAACTTACTTGTTTGTATTAAATTAAAAAAAAACCCGGACATTGGGCAGTGTTGCCTTTCATTAGGTCTGCATGCAATTTAAGGGCATGTCATAAATAGAATAAATTCCTAAATTTCAACTATTTAGTATTTCAGATACTTATATCTGCCCTAAAAACTTTTCTCAAATTAAATTGTAGCTTCTTTGGTCTGCTGAGGCTGCTTATAAGCACAGTCCAGAGAAACAATGTCTTCTTATCTATACAAGAGGCATGAAACTGGTATAACCCTCAGCATTAGGGCTTTTCTTTTCTCGTAGCAAATAAAGTGGCAGAATTTAATTGTGTCCTTTGAAATACAGGCCTATATATACCTCCAGTGCATATTAGATTGGTTATGCTCAAAGTGTTTTTATACCCACATTCCTCTGGAAAAAGAAGATGCAGATATTCTGTTAAGAAATGTTTTCCATGACCATCAGCTAAAACAGAACATGTATGACAGTCCCACATTCGTAGTTTGACTCAAACTTTACTGAAATGCGAGGTAAGAATAACCTTGCCTCTTTTTTCTGGAGTATTTGTTTAAATGGCAAAGTCAATTCACCCAATCTCCATTACACAATTTTAAAGGCCACAACATAGTAGTAGCAAGTCTTTAATATTTTCAATGTAGCATTTCATTTTACATTCTACTGAACATAATGTTGTTTTTTCCAACAAATTGGAGCACTTCCCTGGAGTTATTAATTCTGGCTTAGTACTCATTAGATAATTATACTACACCAGTATATTTTTGATAGGGATTCCTTCAATAGGCATTTACTTTGTACAGTGTATTTATTCTCAAAAAAGAGAAACAAATCTAACCCTCTACCCATATTAATACATAATTACTGTGGGCGAACCTATGGAAAAAACTACTACAGTTTTACACCTTGAATATTGCCTGGGTAAATTTTTACTTTTTTAACTCAGGTAAACCTCCATCCACTTTCTTCTTGCAGTGCCTTAAATACTTCATCCTTCACTACTTAGATGTATGTGGGTGATTTTTCATATCATGGAATTTTCAGGGAATCAGATTTATTAACATTGTAAAATTGTTCTCCATTTCTTTCCAGTTTTCACTGCTCAGTGGATCAGTGATGACCACATAAGGACATAATGAACTGAATAAATTATGTATCTTCTCTCAAATTAACATCACTGTTTGCAATTGAAAGGATATGTGTAGATGGGTACATGAAAACTAGATCAAGCACAATTTGTTCTTTAGTTAGTTATAGCACTTTCCATTTCTAAGAAGAGTTTCATTTTTTAAAGTAGATTTGGCTTCAGTGAAATCAGGAAGCTGTAGCAAAATTCACAAATAATGCCACGCTTACCTTTTTGAGACAACTATTATATTATTTGAAATTATTCATGTTTCACCTGCTGAAAATCAAAAAGCAAATTTTATACTTAAAGTAGCATTTATTATTGCCAAAAATATGTGTGCAATAGAAATGCTACCATTAAGAGTGCAGATCCCATGCTGAATGATAGTTTTCAAAGAATTTTTAAGCTGGATCTTTTTGAACTGAACTATTGACTTTTTGTAGCATTTCCTCATCATCCGAGAGGGATTCATGCAAGACTGCTTTGTTTCCTACACAATTTCTGCTACTTTAGAAACAAAGGAAAATTGTCTGATACTAAAGATACATAAAACGTTTCATGCAGGATATAGCCAGCTTTAGAAGGCCAATGCCCAAACTGATATGCATGTTTTGGCATGATGGACTGTGAATAGCAAAGGAGTTGTTTTGTTTCAGGCAGAAATGATTGGGGTGGGGTGGGGTGGGGGGGACACATGACAGGAAACCTGGCATCTGAAAGGAAGGCAAATCCTGGGCCAATCAGTGAGAAAGGCAAGGCAGTGCTACATGTCATTGTGGAATGCCAACAATGGCAAAGGAGAGGGAAGGCACCAGGAAAATGGAGACAAGGGCCACTGGTATATGCCCTACTAGAACACTGGATGTGGCTTAAAGGAAAAGCACTGGAGAAAGGGGTGGCACAGGTCTCCCCTCTTTCCTTTCCTCCCTTTGGCTGCACCCAATATAATGAGATATGGTTTACTGGCAAGCATTGAGGGAGAAGAAGGGAAAGAGGAGTAATACATGCTATCCAACCCTATTTGGCCCACTTGGATTTTGTTCCATCTGAAATCCAGAATAACCAAAGCATTCTGGGTTTGGGTTCTGCTCAAACAGCTCAATAGGACATTGGGAATACAGCAGATTGTTTAAAACATTTTTCCTATTTCATGTACACCCCTACCTAATATGGAGAAATCAATAGACACATCTCATAATTTACACTCCTAAAAAGGTCAGAATTTTTTTTCTGGAGCACCTAATTACTTACATTTAAATAACATTATTAACATAAACAGATGTTGTCGTATGTTTTGAAATCTAAACAGTCACTTTCAAACCTTCAAAAAAAGATGTTACTTGAGCTTTCTAACTACAGTATTTGCTTTCTTTTCCTTTTTTACTTGCTGTCTCTTGTATTTGCAGAACATAATTAACTAATGAGAGCTTTGCCGTATTTGATAATCATCAGGAGTTTATGTATGTATCTGTGTACATACATAAAGATATGTATGTACATAGATATCTTTATGTATGTACACAAGTATATACAATCTCTATATGAAAACTACTGAGGCATTACATTTCACACCACTGAGGTAGTACTTTCAGGATTAATACGCATTAGTCGGGAAACATTCCTCAGATCCTGCAACTGCTTAGCAGGCTTTCCAACACCTTCCTCAAATCTTTTTTCCACAACAGGAAGGACAGTTTCATAAAGGAAAGATGCATTTTGCCTGATGAATGCTTTCTTCTCGGGATCTTGTTCACACCGTAAACTGTAATCAACATGTTGGATGGCCACAAGGATTATCTCCATCAGACTTTCTAGCAGAACCATATGCAGCTCAGGGAAATACAACTTGAGAGCGTCCTCCAAGAAAGCCATGGTCTGTTTCGTGAAAGCCACAACAGTGTAGCTAAGATTCACCCAACAGTCATCTCCAGTGTACTGGTCAAAATTGGTCACACCACAGCTCCTCATTTCTTCTCTAAGCTTTCCTAAGGCTTCAGGGGTCATCAGGTTCATTCTCCTCCACATTTCTTCAGAGTTGCGATGTTTTGTGGCCTCAATTATGATGTCTTTGTAGCTCTGCAGAGCCCCTTTGATATCCTTTACTAGTAGGGCATGAATAATGAAGGTCAAATCCAGACCAATATCGCCAAGTTGCTTACAATGTTCCTTTGCCACCTTCAACAACAAATGACAATATTAATTTAATTAAATCTAAAGATGTTGCACAACACAGAGATGGTAAAATAATCTTCCTATTGGAAACATTAGAGAACACTGAAACATAGTTTTAAACCAAATCTCTGCATAGTATTACAGAATCATTAATAGATAATTGTCTAATCCAGGGCTGGGCAACATTTTAATCAGCTGTCAGCCACATTTCTTGGAAGACTTTGTTGCCAAAAGTCAATGAGGGATGTTAATACCTATTACATACATAATAGGCAGAAAGATGAAGGGGATGATGGAAGGAAAATTATGAACATCAAATATAATTTGAATTCAGAAGGCAATTCTCTTCTTCCAGGGCTTTACTCAATATAGGACACAAATACCTCAAAGTTTGTATAAAGCTCAAAAGAGGCTTTGTGCCACTCAATAAATATGACTAGACATTGCATCATAATTGGAGCCTCCACCTCAAGATGCATTATTTCTGACAAACTTAAATTTCTTATTTAACACGTGACAGAGGAAGAATGGAATCTATAAACAGTTTAAGCCCTATTCTTGGCTTTTATTGTCCCACCTAATGTTAAAGACAGTTCAGATCTAATCCATGTAATACTACTTATGCTAAAATTTAAGTAAAAATAACAAGTTTGCAGTAACCATCTTAATTTAAAACATATAACTGAAACTTATTTCATACATTTAAAAGAAATGTATTTTCCAGTAATTTAAATATCCCCAATGTTAATGCTAATATGAAATAAAACTGGATAAAAGACAAGTTTCATTTCTATTACTCCCACCATTCAGGTTAACAGAAAAGAGTCTGTATTCCATTTCAGTCTCTTCAGCGATAAAGAGATAAATAAAAACTGGGAGCAGATGGTATGTGCTTTTATCTTGTTTTGGACAAGAGCAACAATAGATTATACAGAGACTCATCCTTTGTTCTACAAAGCAAAGTGTGCTTTTTCAGGTAAAACAGGATCTGTGGTTAAGATCCAGCTGCACTGCAGAGGCAGTGCATATGACTAACCTGTATTTTCCAAATATGAGAGGGCGAGTCTGTTTACCGCTAGCAGAACTGGAAATGAAAATGTTGCTGTCTTCCAGACTTTTTACCAATTGGTCACAGGCATTTTGTTTTGTGTAACAAATAAGATGCTGTATGTGCATTTCTGCTCTCCGGTGTTACATTTATGTGTGTATCTGCATTAGGAGGCCCCAGCATAAATTCCATGCCTTTGATATGACAAGATGGGAGAAGGATTTAGAACTGAGCAGCCACTACATTCCAAAACACTGCCCAAATACTTCTCCCATAGGGATGCACTGAGAGACTTTTTTCAGATTTTTACTCCATTCTCCCTTTACTTACCTTTACACACTCAGCCGCAGTAGATAAACTCTCCTTGCTATCAAACACCTGTTTGCTAAATGCATCTACAAACATCCGCATGGTAGACCGGGCCCAGACCACAAAAGCTGAGTAACACCCACTGTTTCCAGCAAAGTCTGTCTCAAACTCTCTTGCAGTCTCTAATAGGCTGGTAAAGAAGACGTGACAAAGTTTGTGAATATACAGCAACGTGGCGCCCTCAATGCGCAACTGTCGGATGGCTGTGTGAACAGCAGCTTCCCTATTTTTCAAGAAAAGTTCACATGCCTTAGTTGACTGGCCCAAGCGAATGAGCTGAGAAACAGCTCGCCGGGTAGCTCTGGGTCCTCCTCGGAGAGACCTATCCGGAGACAATTCAAACACAAGGACCTCAGTGAGCTGTCGGACTCTTTCATCCACCTTAGCTCGCAACTCTCTAACCATCTGGGTCACAGGTTTGTCACTCAGATATTCCTTCAGCTTATCTAACAAATCAACCGCCCCTTCAAAGTCTCTCTGAGCAATGCAGACATCCAAGTCTTCTGGCAGCTCCTGAATCCATTCTAAAGACAGATCCACCATTTCTTCTTCCGGCGTTGCCTTCTCTTCCTCCTCCACCTCCTCTTCCTCCTCGTCTACTTCAAACGGATTAGTAGTCTCAGCAGGCATTGAGAGAGCCCGCGTTGGGACCTCCTGCTCCAGCCTCCGTTTCTCGCTGAGAACTCGGTTTCTTTTTGCCTCCTCCAGCACTTCCAACCACTCTTTCTTGATCTTGGCATTCTCAGCTTGGAAGATGCGACTCTCGGGGAACATCAGCAGCTTGAACATATCCTTCATGGGGGGGTTGTCCTTGACGTTAACCACCGCCAGCCCATCGAGCGGGTAGAGGGCATCGTAACGGTACATGCCCCGCCGGTTGGGCAGCCAGGCTGCCACCAGCAGGCAGTCGTTCATAAGGAAAGCGTGGACTTTCTGGATCTGCACCATGTGGTCAGCATCGTACTCCACAAGGTCCCCGTTGTACACTAGGTACTTGCCAGGGCTCTCCGGGAGCAGGTCCCGGCAGCCCTCCACTTTCTCCAAGAGGGTGGTGAGAGTCCGCTGCCGGCCTTCCTCGTTGGCCGAGGCGTCCTTGCTGGAGAGAGGCAGGAAAGGGTCGGTGGCGGCAGCTGCAGCTCGCCGGGCTCCCGCCGGGTCTTCCCTCTCGCCGACATTGGCCTGCAGCAAGAGGGCCTGGGTGACGGTCTCCATGATGCCCTTCTGCTCGGTGAGGATGTGGCTGAGCTGGTACATCTCGCTCTCCAGGTAGCTGATCTCGCGGGCCGTCTCGATGAACTGCCGGTAGTTCTGGTAGACGTTGCGCTTGAGGCTCTGCGCCGTCTCCTCGCTCAGCGCCTGAATGCGCTGCCGGTGCTCTTGCAGGTCCCGGTCCCCGTCCGACTGCTGGGACAGTTGCTTCACGTACTCCTCCGCCGCGTAACTCCCGGATTCCAGCTGCCGTCGCAAACGGCTAGCGCCGCCGACTGCCGCCACCTCCCCGAGAGACACCGCCATCTCTGAGCCGGAGCAGCGAGAGACCCAAAAAGAGCGGAAACGAAGGAGCGTCTGCGCCGGAAAAAGAGCCGCTCCCGAAGATCTTCAGGAGAGAGAGAGAGAAAGAGAGAGAGAGGAGCCTGCGGGAAACGTAAAACGTCACGAAACGGCGACACGTCGCTCTCCGTTTCGCGCATGACCACAAAGGTAGAGCAAGGCTCTAGCTCCGGATGTTTGGGAGAGGTGCGCAAGCGCTTTGCAACCTCGAGGAATGGGGCTTTGCGCATGCGCCAGCTTTGCAAAGCTGCCTTCCGGCCGGTGAATGGCGGCTGTTGATAGTTGTGAGCGTCGCTTCTTGGAGGCACGATGGACGAGGACTTTTTGCTGGCCCTGCAGTTGCAAGAGGAATGGGAAGCGGAGGACGAGGAGGTGCGGGTTCAGGCGATCCCCTCTGATCCTCCGCGGCCATTCTCGCTGATGGACGATGCCTGGGAGTTGCTGGATCCCAACCCCGACGTGCGAGGCCTCTTTCTGCAGTTCAACGAGACTCTCTTCTGGGGGCGCCTGGCGGCGGTGGAAGTAAAATGGAGCCCGCGCATGACCCTGTACGCCGAAGGAAGCGCCGGGGAGGGAGGAGAGAGGCATCCCTAAACGGACGCCCTCCAGGGATGGTGGGACTACCGCTCTCGGAATTCCCTGCTGCTTGCAGTCCTGGGAATGGTAGTGTAGAGCAGGGGTCTCCAATCTTGGCAACTTTAAGCCTGGAGGACTTCAACTCCCAGAATTCCCCAGGCAGCAAGCTTCAAGCTGCCTGGGGAATTCTGGGAGTTGAAGTCCTCCAGGTTTAAAATTGCCAAGATTGGAGACCCCTGGTATAGAGAATATCGGGGGGAGGGGGGGGGAGAAAGACTGCTCCGCGGGCTCAGGTGTCAAGAAAGGTGCCTTTAGAGCTGCTCCCATTGCCGCCCATGGCACATCTACCCATTAAAATTTTGTAAAATGTAGACTGATGGCGGTTTGATGGCTTATGTTTGTTCTGATTGTCAGCTGATCCTGGTAATAGCAATAGCACTTAGACTTATATACCACTTTACAGTGCTTTTACAGCCCTCTCTAAACGGTTTACAGAGTTGCCCCCCTTTTACTGACCTCGGAAGGATGGAAGGCTGAGTCAACCTTGAGCCTGGTGAGATTTGAACAGCCCAATTGCAGGCAGACGGCAGTCAGCAGAAGTAGCCTGCAGTACTGCACTCTAACCACTGCGCCACCGTGGTAGGCTTTCCTAGTCAGCCAAGATTGGATTGCCAGATTGCAAGCAGGCACTTTTTTTTTTTCCTGACAACCAAGCAGGGCAGGCATAATCAGATACATATATTGGTCAAGATCAATGATAGCTGTAAAATTTTTGTACTTGAATCTTGGGATTTTGAGCTACCACAAACCAGCAGGATGAGGTAGCAGTGTGAACTATGCTAATTCAGATTGAGAAGTGGGCTGTTTTTAAATACTCCTCTGCTTCTCTTTCTGGAAAAATTGTCCTCTTACTTCCGTAGAAAACTAGTAGATCACAATGGATAACTGTTTCAGTCACATTCTACTTTGGTAGATTTTTGCACTTGGAAAACAAAAATGGATAGCTTCTGCTTTGCCTTCTAGGTCCGCTGGCGTTTGCTGCTATGAAGGTCATGGTGGAATGTGCTCCATCCGACTAAGTGAACCACTTTTAAAATTACGGCCAAGGAAGGATCTCGTGGAGGTATTTGTAGAAAGATGGAATTCTTTCTACAAATTTTTTGCAGCCTAATGTGGTTGAATGCATATATAAACTGTGGAATATATTTTGTCAGTAACAAATCAGATCCTGAAATATGCTTAATAATATAAGGATAATAGTAAGAGATCTAAATGTAGCAAGTAATCATATGAATAGGCAGATCTTTTCTATGAATAGAGCACTTTGATTGATGCCTTAGTGCTCTAAATGCAGCAGTTCAGTACTATATACATGTAATAAAGTACTTTTTCCTAGGAATTAGCTCTCTCTTGCTTTAAAGACAATGTTTTAATTCTACAAAGATAGAAGAAATAATGAGTCCTGTATTGTAAAAATACCAGGGAACTCCAGTGTAGCAGTATGAGCCTTATTTCTGATCTATAACAATATTTTACTTTCTTATATAATGGGATGAAAAATGTCATATATTGAAAACATAAATCCAATGTCTACTTCTTAGAGACTTTTTCTTCCTCATTATAGCATAATAGTTATTTTGGCCAAGGGCTTCTCTTAGTTATTGGATTCCAAACAAGGAGATATGAAATTCTGTTATTATGAGGATAGAGACACTCTGATCCATGGCCAGTTAGCTAAGACATCTGTCTTGGTTTTCATGAGATCCGTTCTCTCCTCCATGATTGTTTTGTGAGAGAGAAGCAAACTACCTTTCTTAACTTCTTTGACTTAGCTCATTAATGGGACAAAACAAGTTCAACAGATCTATTTGCTTGGTACCTGCAGACGGATTTACATAGCTGTGGAATAAATGCAAACTAACAACAGTTTTATGAATTCTCATTGTAAATCAAGTACATTTGTACAAACCTGAATTGTAAGCACCACATTTCAAAATTCAGTTCATATTTTTCTTGCCATATGGGGGATAAACCAAAATTGCTAAATTTCTTTCCAAAATATGGATATGTAATTGTCTTTTGTTAGAAAATGGATACTTAAGTAATCTTATTAATTTCAGACTCTCCTGCATGAAATGATTCATGCCCTGTTGTTTGTTACTAATAATGACAAGGATCGCGAGTCCCACGGTCCAGAGTTCTGCAAACATATGCACCGGATAAATCGCTTAACAGGAGCCAATATTACGGTAAAGGCTTTTTGTGATATATAGACTCATTTTCATTCTTCAAGCACAGAATAAGAGACTGCATGATGAGATGGCAAGCAGTTCATGATGGGATGGTATACTCTAGCAGAGTTGATATTTTCAGCCAATCCTCAGAGTTCTATTATTAGCAGATACAGTTTCATCTTTTGATTGAGGGCAACTCATCGAAGTGAAAACACTAACCTATAATGATCATAAAATATGCTTTGAGTTACTACAGATCAATCTGAGTGTATCTAAAAAGAAGAATTGAAAAGAGTGAAAATAGAACTGTAGAGAAAAAAAGCATGAAGCTTATATAAAAAAGTGTTAGAAGATGAATAAATCTCTCAGACAGAATGAATGTAAAATATTTCACATATTTGTTGGGTATAATAGCAATATGCTATTACAGTGTGAAAAAAGTGTGAAAAGTCTGGATATAATAGTAACATGCTGAAGAGAAATTGAAACAAATGCTATAAATTACATAAAATGAAAATTTACAGTTGATTTTTTTCCCCTTTGAATTAGTGCCCAAGAGAAAAAAGGTGAAAGTTAAAAAAAAATGGTAACATAACATAAATAGGTGGAGTAATTGGAAATAATCTCTAAATGTAGCTTGGTTAATTGATTGATTATGTAAGTTGTTTCAAATAAGTGTGAAAACTGATTCTGCCTAACAATTGGAAGAATATGATTATTATTCCATATATAAAAGGAAAGTTAGTTTTTGGTTGGTCATATGAAGGTAGCATGGGAATGATATCTTTATTGTATGAGAACTTGAATGACATATGTTAATGTTAAACAGATTGTATGTGGCAGCAAGGGTGTAGAGCTGAAAATCAAAGATGAAGACATCTTTGATGGACAGGTGAAATGGTTGAAATAGTTGCTAGTTATACTTTATATAAATGCTGAAAAACTAGAGCAAGTAGAAGAATGTGTACCTTCATAAATGTTTACTGGAAATGGATAGACATGTAATACATGCAAATGTCTGTAGAAACACATGTATTCTGTAAAAAGGAATGAATGTTGAAGAAGCGAAAAATAGCTGTATTTAAGAATGTGCTTTTGCCCATGTTAGCCATGTGAAAGTAAGGATTTGGGTATACAGGAGAAACACAGAAAGTAGTGAGAGTGGGAAAATTAGTCTTCTGGACAATAGATTAAGGTCAAGAATGAATGGGTGATTAATTTATACAGACTGAACATTGCATCAGTAGTACAAAAGAAGTATATTGAAATAGTTTTCTTACGTAAAAAATGCATGTTAATCAGTTTGGAAAACAAATATATGAAGGAAGAGTGAGTACACATAGAGAAAGTGGAAGATTGGATGGAGTATTCAGACCCTCTTATATCTTTAATTTGTTTGATTTACTGTTTCTCACTCCTTTTCTGCAGTCTGAATTATCACTGCTTACCCTGAAAGGGAATATAGTAGCATGATAGATGTGTATGTATTTATATAGCATGAAAATGAAAGTTGTACTGTACACTTTTTCCCTCTTTGGATTAATTTCAGATCTATCATGAATTTCACGATGAGGTGGATTTCTATCGTCAGCACTGGTGGCGTTGTAATGGGCCATGTCGAAATAGGAAGCCTTATTATGGCTATGTAAAACGTGTAATGAATAGGGCGCCATCTGCCAATGACTATTGGTGGGCAGAGCACCAAAAGAGCTGTGGGGGAACATATACCAAGGTCAGAGAGCCTGACAAGAGCTCCAAGAAATGCAAGAAAAAAGATGATCAAGCAAAAATCCTAGATGATGGTTCACGTATGTACTTTTTGTTATTCACCAACTATGTAACTAAATTCTGTAAGGTTAAATGAAAAGATTAATTAGAAAGCTACTTGATTTTTTCTCAATAGTGCTGATTCATATTTTCAAGTATATATAATTGTGTTTGGTATAAAAGCACTGAATATTGATTTTCTAGACGAGGGTGATTTGAGATTAACTCGAACTAGTGATTTGGATCCTAAAAGCAATTGGAATAGAATGAAGTTTTCCATACGAGACTTTCTCAATTCCTCAACTCCACTAGTAAAAAGGTTTCCCAGCCCAGAATCCTTAAATAGGTTTATAGTGAATTTTGTGTGCAAGTAAACCTTAAAATCAATCTTGATTCCTGGCAACTGCCTGAACAAGTCCTTGCAGTTTTCTTGGCATTATTTTCAGAAATGTTTTGCCATTGTTTTCTTCCTAGGTCTGAGAGAGAACTAGGCCTAAAGTCACCCAGCTGGCTTCATGGCTAAGGTGGGATTCATAATTTCTAGCCTTGTAACTTAACCACTATATCAGAATGGTTCTCTAAAATAAAAATAGAAATAGAAAACAATAAATTCCACATAAATTAAAATTTAGCCCGTTGTGCTCATATTCCATATTGGTTTTGCAGAATTCTCACTCTACAAATGCAATTTGATGACTGATACATCAAAATATTCTGGAAACATTTCAAGCTCTGTGTTTTTTCTCCCTACTGACAAATAAATCCACTAAGTTCATTTTGCAATGGGCGTTCCTCAGTACATGTAAATATATTGAGTAAAAAGCATTTGTAGTAGCTGATAGTTATTTGACCTAAAAGAACTTCTGGTGTAATTTCAGGAAAAGCTCATGGAAGCAGCATACAGAGCATAATACCTTTTAGTGGGAAAGGATATATCCTTGGAGGAAAAAGAAGTGAATCATCATTAGAAGGAGCTGTAAGTCCAAGCACTAAGAGCAGAGAACTGGTCCAGTCACAATATCATTCACCTGCTGGTTCATCTAGGTCAAATCCTAAAAATGAAATCAAATTTGAGCAAAATGTTTGCTGCACAACTGTTTCCTCTCCGTTTTCTCCAAGCGGTCCTGAAAATAGCTCTGCTAGTATCACATTTCCTAGATTTTCAGTTGCTAATCGTAAGGTTTATACTAATGTTAATGGCTCACCAGTTAAAAATATTTCTTTGGGTGAAAAAAGGTCAGAATCAAGTTCTACAAAGGCTCTAAGAGATATACCTCACAAAGGGACTCCAGAAAACACAATTTCTATATCAGCTACAATGACTCCAAGATCCCAGTCACCATCTCAGAGAAACAGCAACAGCCAGAATGGTGGCCCAGCAAAACGAGCCAGAATGGAAGATTCAGTTACGTTTGTCAACTATTTTTTAAAGAAAGGAGAACTCAAGGAGACTAGTTCTTCTGTGAACAGTAGAGCTAAATCAGCAATCTCAGAAACATCCACTAGTGACCAGAATAGAAATGTATGTTGCCCTGTCTGTCAATCTGAAGTTTTGGAAACCAAAATCAATGAACACTTAGACCTCTGCCTCTGAAATCTTTTAATGTGAGTTTAATATAAAACTGCTTTGCTCAAGGTTTCTGTGTTTGTATGTATTGATGCACTTTCTCTGTTTTATGCAGAAAAAATTATATTTGATTTTGTGTATGAAACTTTCCTGACATTGAAAGTTTTTTCTCAGTACCTATATGCTAATAACAGTTAACACTGAATACAACGTAGCCTTGAGAAAAGTGTGTTTCTAAGAGACAGTTCTATAATGATTTGATCTGATATTTAACAAAAGTTTATGTGTAAGGTAAGAAACCGGAAGAGTTATAGTACAGGCATTAATTATTTTAGAAAAATAATTTGCTATTACATTTTTGTTTGGTTACAACTTTAAATGCTAAATGGGGGAATATAGTTCGAATATGTGCATTTATTATGTAAGACAGGTCCCCAACCTGTGGTCCATGAATATGTGCATTTGTTATGTAAGACGGGTCCCCAACCTGTGGTCCATACCAGGCCGCGAGCTAATCGCCACTGGGCCGCGCACCTGCACACGGTCCTACTCACACGAGCCTTGTACGAGCCCCCAGTTGCGCAAGCCTTGGCACTCCCGGCCTGTCATGTGAGCATCAATGTGGGTGCTTGTGGCCCCACTTGCACAAGTGTTGTCATGGGCATTTGTTTATGATTTAGAAAAGCATCTACCTGATCAAAAAAGATATAATCAATCTTAACCACTCACACGAGTGTTGCCACAAACGTCACGGGCGCTATGCACACACATGGTGCATGAGCTTGCCCCTCCCACAAAATCATCCCCCTTCCCCCCTCCCCCCATTCTGAGCCACCAACCTGGAAAGGTTGGGGTACTTTGGTGTAAGAGATAGACATGAGTTTGTTTTCCCCTGAACTTGAAAGCTGATGTCATATAGTAAAGAATACGGGCTACTTTTCTGTTTGCACCTAAAGAAATGGCTCACCAAGTGTTTGCTTTAAAATTATGATGTCTTCTTTTTATCACCCAATTTATAGATTTTGGCTGGATTTTCAAAGCTTTTTTCTGTTGAGTTCAGAAGGGTTAGACTGATTTTTGATCAGGTAGATGTTTTTCTAAATCATAAACACATAGGAAAGGTTATGTTATACTACTATTTCATTTATAAAGTGCCTATTAGTGTGATGTATGCCTACTATTTATTAATAACTTTTGAAACCTATTTCCTCTGAGATGGAAATATATTCTTGCACACAGCACAGGTTGTCAGCCATTTGTACAATTAAAAATAGCTTTTCTGAAATAGTATCTGAACAGAACTCTTTTCCAAAAATAAATCATGAATTTCATAATCTGCTTTTAAAATAAAATTTAATATGTAACTTGTGTCTTTATAGGTCAGTTGGGTTTTGACGATCTGATGTGATGCTCCTGTACTAGCTTTTGTTTTGAACAGCAATGTTCATATAAGCAGGCAAACATCTATTCAGGCTAGTATTTTACTGTTGACCGGAAAACCTACAATAGACCAGTGCTATGAAAGGAACAGCAGCGGCTTCTTTCAGTTTCTTGCTCATCAGAGATTCTACCAGCCTGCTGGTGGTTGTTCATTGTCAACAGCCTGGAATGATAGATAAGTGATCGATGAGCAATTGTTGCTTCGCTTACGTGTACACCTTTCTCTATAATGACACAACCAGTCTCAAAACAATGATTCAAAATGCACAAAGCAATCTTGAGATGGAAAAATAAATAAAGGCATCCAGAGAATGCATTGAAATAATAGGGTAATAATAATAGGCAATATAATAATAATAGGCAATATAAAATACTTCTATTGTGGTTATGTTACGTTACATATTTATACATGATGATGTTGGCAGATTTGTTTGATTGGGAAACGTCAGCACAATCATATTGCAAGAATGAGAGGAAGGAACTAGATAAAAGGAAATTTGGAGAATCACGAGAACCAATTATCCAAGATGCATAGAAATAATTTAAAACCACAAGATCAACTAAAATACACAGTTACTCGAAAGGTACTACTCAAATCAGAGTAGTGAAACAGACTGTAAAAGACATTTCCATTCAAAAAAAATATGGAAAACAAGCAGAAAATCTGCCAAAACAAATTGACAATTGTGTTCACACATCATGGATTACGCTCTGTTAAATAAACTACATTTTGGCTGGATTCAGATAATACATCAAAGCTACCATAGGTACAAAGAAACAAATCTTTAGGGTATTAACAGCAGACATATTGTATACTTAGATACAAAAAGCACAGACTTGCCCTCAAAACTGATTGGATTATGGCAACAGATCAAGGAGCAAAAAAAAAAAAAAAAAAAAGTTAAAAAGATTCACCAGGTGCAAAAAAGGGATGACTTAAAACTTCGCATTAGAATATTGAGGTAAATAGAATATGAAGCAACTTTTAAAAAGAATCTGAAGTAAGCCATGGTTCTAATCACAGGCATCCATGAAGGGACTAAAGGGTTGGTCATGTGTCATGATGCAAAATCTACAACTTACGTGCTTGTATTAGTGTGATACAAATATATAAGGATGGAGTTTGTATCATGGCATGTGAGGCAAATAATTGTTCTATTGTAATCTATGCTGCAGATCAGGGGTGTCAAACTCGCGTCGTCACGGCAGCATCACGTGACATATTGGGACTTTTCCCCTTTGCTAAACCGGGCGGGGATGGGGCCAGCACCTGGTGCATCCGGCCGCGAGTTTGACACCCCTGCTGTAGATTACATTCTATGCCTTTTGGGTAATTCACCTTGAACATAATTACTGGTTCTAGATGGTATCCATCTGAATTCAATTATATTGTTAATCTAACAAAAATATATAAAACAAGCATAGAACAAGCCCCTAAGTGATCTAATCCAACTTACTCAAGTAACTGATCTAATTTATTCATTTTTATTGTAACCAACTGTGTAGACATAGTTGTTATGAAGAATCTCCAGAGATCTACTACACTGCGTAATGAGAATGCCACTTTATTTACATTTAAGAGGCAATTTGTGGCCAAGCAATGAATAAATATCAGCCCAAAAGGCTGCTAGTTTACATTTTTATACTGTAGTTTTTCTAATTTGCATTGTATTTTACTGTTGTTTTTATAAGTCTGGTTACATACTTATGTACTTTTCTAGAGGGGTCTCCCTAAATATTAAAAATAATAATACATCAAAACATAAACTAAGGCTCTTGCATTTATGTGTTGTTGAAAGACATTTGCTTATTGTTTTGACTTAAAAACTTTTTAAGTTAAAAAAACATTTGTAGTAAAAAGATGGTCAGAAAATTAAATTTCTCAGAACAAAGTTCTAACTGCAAAAAATGTGAACTATTGATTTGATGAGGAACAATTTTTATTTAAAGCTTGTATCAAACCAGCTAAAGATACGTAATCAATTGAAAAAATATTTCGTACATCTGCAATCAGGGTGCTTTATGTAGGTGGTTAAAAGTGAATCCTCTTAGTGTCTTCTGACAAGTACATGTAATTGTCCCTTCCCTAGAAGATGACTAGCCTTGAAATGTATCCAGATAGCATTTTCTTTTTTGTGGATTAGAAGACACAAGGGCAGGCAGAAGATCCTGCCCTGTTTACCTAGTGATTGTGAATCTCTGAATTCAGTTTGTGTGGATATACTCAGAATACCTATCTACGTCTCTCAATCAAGAACTGTGTTTACAGCAAGGGAGGCACTAAGGTAGTAGAGATAAAATGCTTATAATCATAGTGTTGACTTACTACCAGGCCACAGCACTTTTCTCCCTCCTCTGCTTATTTTCCCTCAGCAGCCTCACTTTTAAAAACAATCACAGCTAGATTAGATAATTAAAAACAGGGTTTATAAATAAAGCTAACAGACTTTTGACTACAGTTAGTGTCACTGCCTGCTAAAAACAGGCACACGCGTGCACACACACACAGTTTATCAGATTACAAATTAGTTGCTGTGGAATAGGCTTTAAAAGAGTTACATAATTACAAAATAACCACATTGTTTCAAGAATTTTTATAATCTTTTAATCAGATTAGCTTTACAAGCAACTCGAGAGCTCTTTCAATAAGGAACACTGATTTTCAAAAGTTACATGACTTTATAATAAATCTGCAAATGAATCCTGAATTTCTTTGCCTGCTAGATAAAAGTCTTGTTTTACAGCTGGCTAATGTCATGAAATAAAAATAGCATCATGAAGCTTTATCTTTAACCAGGACTAAACAGAAATACAGGCCATAAGACAATTTAAAAATAGTCTGAAACAGGTTTCTGTTTGGTGATGCCCCAGGCTGAAAATTTAACTGACGTGAACTGTTTTCAAATGGGCATCAGAGGCCCGGTTTGGTAACTTTTGTAAATAATGGAGATATCCAAGAGATTGTATATCTCCCCAGCAAGCGCAAATGTAAGATGCTGATTGATACCTTTGAATAAAGGGACAAAAAAGTAAAGTCTTAGGTTTGCATTTTAACACATTAAACATAATACAAAAGCAGTTAAAAGTTAGATTTACTAGGCCTAAACTGTGCATTGCGCTGCAGGCCAGTCAGTAAAGAATTAACACTCCTTGGCCAGGCTTCCAGAGGCACTTAAGAGTAAGATGTGTTTTCTTCTGATTTACCAGGATGAAGAGAAAAGTCAAACTATTACAAGTTTTGACAGCTAGTAAGTAATTTTTGGAGAAGGGAACAGAAGGGAACAAAAAACCAAACTTTTTTTGTAACTTTCCCCAGCATGTTATTATAATGTTGAATTTTCTCCCTTCTGTCAATGGTCAGTAAGCACAATCCTTGTTGTTTTTCATGTTTTACATGAATAGTAAGGTTTTTTTTTAATAAAAATTACTGAGCTTTCCATAGAAAAGGACTTTTAAGAATATAAACTATACAGATGTTAAGTTGTATACAGAGAAACATTTCTGTACACTTACTTTATTTTGATTAAGTGAGGCAAAAAGGGATTGGTGATGCTATCGATAAGGCTGGGAGAATTTAAAAGCTTCCCCCTTCAGGGAATCACATTTCAGCAGAAAACTAAAATAAATTTCACATAGCTGGTAAATGAATGTTATTGTTCCTCACTTTTCCCCCCCAGAAACATTAGACCATGTAAAAATTTCTCCTTAGTATGAAATCCTTCACATATTAAGCCTGCAGTGATGCACTTCAGTCTTAATGTATTTAATATACACCTGACATCATGTAAGAGGATCAAGGGGCAAACAGTAAAGGATGAGGGATGGTAATGCTTTGAGAGAACACTTATCTCTGATTTTAACTTACACAAATGAGAGAAAGCTTTGAAATGAGTTAAGACAGATCTCCCATCAAAGTAGTAGAAGGGGTGTTGCTTCATCTAAAAGCCTAGAAAAGCCCTTACAGTTTAGGTATTGAATGATATTTGTGGACAGAATCCACCTAGTAATTCATCTGCAGAAGTTGCACAAGAGCCCAGCTTTTCTTTGAAGAACTGCATTTCCATCAAATGGGTTCACAGATGAAGTTCCCAGTGGAGTACACCCATAGCGTTCAACGCTATGACAGTACAGAGAGTATCAAGTTCACTTAGTGGCCAGCCAGTCACTTAGAAAACCCAAATGTTACAGATTAAAAAATGGTTACTTTCCGGATTCAGTAAGTAAAGCCATAAGTAACTGAGAGAAAGACAGGCATCTGTTTCATGTTGCTTAAGTTTCAGAGAGAACACAATACAATCAATCAAATCAGTATAAGATATGAAAAAAATGGGTTCTCAGATGATGATTAAAGTGCTCCTTTTTGGATTTTAGGTAAAAAGACAATCATTTACTGGCATTTCATTTATTTAAATTAAGTTTTATATGATAGAATAATGGGGAAAATAGCAGATTTACAAAAATAGAGAAATGCTACTTTGGAGAATGTTTTGTTCAATTTTGATCACCAAACCTAGTTATACAAAATTATTTAAACTCAACATTTATCACTTTTTTAAAGAGGAAGATGAACAGCACTGAGCTGAATAACTGAATGTCAAAAAATGAATGATAGAAAAATCTCAAATGTCGGGCACTTCATGTGTAAACTGTTTCTTGTCAATGCTTATCTTTACATTAGCAGTCACAGGACTGGAGTCACAATCATGGAGTACAATGCTTCAGCAGTTAAAAAGCCATTTGATGTAACATTGAAACCCATTGTTTACCGATTCAAAATCTTGATTTGGTGCTGATTTTCTTTTTCTTATTATTCACATTCAAAAGTTAATAGGTATCATCAAGGTTTGATGAAGGTGAGGTGAAAAGAGCCAGAATGTAGAGGAGGGAACTGTAGACCAAAGGCTTTACAAATGTTCTTTCCCATCTGAATCTGAAGGTTTATTTAGTTCAACTCTCACACCTTTTTCACCTGCAAAAAAGGGAGGATATTATATGAAAAGATGGTACTGAAACACGGATTTGAAATAAATTATAATTTTTCTTTTATTAAACTTTAAAACAAAATACATATTTTTAGAACTTCACAATTAATGCCTGTTTGAAACCAAGTTAAATATTATTAAAATAATTATTAACCTACAAGACATACTGAACTATACAAAGCTGAATTTGATCAATGACTGAATTTGAAAAAAAAAAAACCAGCATCAAGGCACATCTTTGTACTTGGTTTTTGAACGTTAAAACTATTTTTATTATATTATTTTGTTATAATTAAGTAGTTTCATTTTTATTCATTCATCTAATTTATATGGCCACCCATCTCACAAAAAGTGCCTTTATAGGCACTACAACCATAATTGAGCCCACAATTAGTCCTTCAAGTGGGTGACACAGCAGAGAAATCTGCCTCCTGAGTCCCACTAAATGTAGTTCTGACAGGACCACCCTTTTTGGCTGGAACTGATAGGACAGGCAAATATAGTTGGGGAGAAATGGTCCCTCAAATAATCTGGCCCATGTAGGGCTTTTTAAGTAAGAAAAACAGCACCTTGAATTGAAACTGAAAACAGACTTATAATCAGTGCAGCTTCTGAAACAGTGTTGTATTGTGTGTTGTTCTAGAGACACAGATAACTGCATGTGCCACTGCATTTTGTATCAGCTGGGGTTAACAGTTTTATAGTTTTAATTCTAACTTAACTTCTGTGGACCTCACTCCATATTTAAGAGGTTCCCTGACATGTCTACCGTCCCTGTCACATTTTTATTTGTTTATTTTATTTGTTCAAATTTGTAATTTTTGTTTGATTAAATAAACAAACAAACAAAGTTTCCAAATACTCTTCAAGGGCAGTCCCACACAAGTAGAAGCAAAATTTCAGGACACTTCAGAGAACCAAGTAAATAGATCTTCATCTTTTAAAAACTACGCATGTGCCTATCCAAGGCTATATACTTTTTCCACTTCCTTCTTACTCTTACACAGCAAAAGTCAGCTAGCAAGGAATTTCTAATAGAGATATATAATTCTATTTTTGCCAAGTAGTCAGTTTTAGTAAACTATACCCCTAGAGTAGATATTGCTTGACATTTTAATACAGTGATAGTAGCTCAATTTCTATACTCTAGATTAATGTAATTTTGATTAAACACAATCTTTAAAAATAAATTAATATAGTCCTACTAGACTAAATTCAAGTAAGAAATTTGTAAAAACACTCAGTAAGAAAATATGGCAATTTACTTACCTGTTAAGTATTTTACTTTTGCACGGGCTCTTTCATCTGCATCAAAATACCACACTGTTATTGCGTACCTTTAAAAGAACAAAAAAGGCGAAGCAGTAATGGTACATTAAAATAATGCTTCTGTCAAGATTACTTGAGATTATTTCTATTATACTCAGAAAGTACAATTCCAACACAATTTGTCAGTTTTTTAGAACTATTTTCTCCCTTATGTGGTGCCATGAGTATCATGACCTTTCATAATTTATATAAATTATTAGGGAACTAGGTATTTTTAAAAGTGAAACTCAAGATACTTACTATCTTAATTTCTCTAGAACAGACCTCTGTAATTTATGGAAATTCATTTTAAATCAATATGAAAATAAAAAATATTGAAGTATGTTGTATCTTTGCTAATTAATGTTCTTTATAAAATAATTTTACCAGTCTATTAATTCTTAACAAAACATCTGAAAGATCGTCCTCACTTACATCACGTAATGAGTCCTTAATTTTTCAATTTATAATTGAAAG